CCGGCGGCGCTGGGCCGTGCTGCAGCCTCTTCGAGCACCTCGCAGGGGCGGGGGGGAAAAAAAAACCCGACAAAAAATACCACTTTTCCTCTCTCTTAAGAAATAATCTGTATTTCAACAACCCCCTGGGACAGAAAAATAAAAGATCTGCAGACTTCAGAGCCCCCTGACTTCAGCGGGCAGCGGGGCGCTGGCCCGGCTTAATGGCTGGAGAGCGTGGCTGGAGGTCGGGAGAATGAGGTTCTGCCGCTGCGGAATGGAGATCACAGCTCCTCCTCGGCGCAGGGTGCCCTCAGATCCGGGGATGAAAAACCTCTCCGTGCAGCAAAGGGCAGGATTTTGCCCTTTTGACTGTCGCGCTGAAGGATCTGACAGAAACTGCCCTATATTTCAAAGGACAGAGCTTAACAGGACAGGATAGGTCTGGAGCGTGGAGGAAGTCAACGCCGATCGTACGATAGCTGTGGCGAGCAAGGGAATCGTTCTTGAAATCTGTGCGGTTGCCGGATTGTGAAAGCAAGAGCCGGTCCGGCAGATAAAATGTTTTCAAACTCTTCATCAACATTTGCATACTCTGATTGTGCCCAAAATTGGGGAAACACACATGCGAGTAATTTGGGTTGGCCATTTGTTTGCAGAGTTAACTGACTTAGGTGTGTAATCACAGTAATTGCCTGGATAATTGCGTGCCTAAGGTTTAAAAATTTCCTCCGTGGTTTCCTTTCCCTCATCCTGTACGTTTTCTTCATCTCTGCCTTTCAAGTAGGCAGGCCTACTGTTGAAACCTCGGTGCTGGCTTTTATGCCTCCTCTTTATTCAAATCCATTTCTACAAGGTGCTTTTGATCTCTAGGACGTCCCCTCACAAAAAGTGTATTTTCCACTTTTTAATCTGTAATTTAAATAAACAGATGTTCCGTCATGTGCTTCCCTCCTCCCGTTTCCTCCTACAAACCCTAAAATACCTTTAATTTTGAAAAGACTATGAATAAACCCGATTAATGAAAATGAAATGTCTTTCAACTCCAGCATGTTTTTAATTACCTCTTTGCTTTACAGTTGCGACAGAGTCCAAGCGGCACCTTCCTAGAAAGAGCTCCATTAAAATGCAAATGAAGACTTTGCAGAAGTTGCCTGTTAATGCAACGAAGGACACAATTTCTTAAGACTTAAGCAACGCAAAATCCTCGCCAGGCAGGGTTTCCCGCTGCCACCTGCTCTTCCCGCATGCGCAATCCCGTGAGTTCGCCGCCTCATACGCGCTTTTCCCAGTCTCTTGTCACCTGTGGGTGAAGAGCACCGGAACTAAACAGCCAAAATCCCTTTTCCACCCTAAATGCCGAAGCTGGTTTTCATGTGCAGCTCTCCCCACCCCGCTGCGCCTGCAGGTGTTGGATCCTTCTGTGCTTTAAGTGTTTCTGGTTTTTTTAGGTTCCACGCCGAAATGTGGAGGTTGGAGGGGCTGATTGAAGGTTATAAGGGCTGATTGAAAATGGAGCTATATCTTTATGCAAATATATCTATTTGGCATGAAACCTGTATTATACCTGGTTGCAGCTGAAAGCTCTCTGCCTTTCCTTGCCCCTCTGTATTTGAGACCGAGCTCCCCCCATTACCCCAGAGCTCCTCAGGTTCGGCACGTACATTCCCTTCCTCTCCTCCTACCCAGGTTTTCTTCCTCGGGTCTTTGTTGGAAGAAAGTATTTATTTATGTCGTATTTATTTGTGTGTCAGGCCGGGCTGCCTCCCCCGGAGCAGCAGCAGCTGCAGCCTGGGCACTGCCCTGGGGAACGCTCTCCAAGAGGGGGAGGGTGGCGGCAGGCCGAGTTTCCCAGAGCTGTTCCGCACAAAGGATTTCAGGAGACTTGAAGAGGTTTAATATTCTTTTGCTAATCACGCTCCCTCTGCCTCCTTTAATTCAAAATTTGTATCGTGTTTTAGGTAAATCCTGCAATTGCTCAGCCTGTCCTTGGAAGAGAGGTGGTCTCTCCTCATAAGCGTGCATGAAAAAAAAAGCTGAGCTGGAGGGAAAAACGAGGTAGTTCACGTGGTTTTTGGTGTGCAAAGCGCCATGAACAAGAAGCACGCGGGAGAGGTTAAGGGCGTAATGATGCACCTCTTCAGAGAAACGTCAGGGATTACAGACCGCGTGTTTCCAGCCCAAGTCGACGTCCTCCGTACGCCACTGTATCACAGATTTCATCAAGGCAGAGCCCGCCGGAGGCGAGGGCTTTAATCGCACCGCTGACAGTTTTTTGCCACTGGGGGAACAGGTAAAATTCATATTCTTGTAGCACAAGAGACTTTGGAATCACCCGGACGCATTCCCTTTGCTTTCTTTACAAAGAG